CCAGGTCCAACGCGGTAACAAGATAACATAACCCGGTAACATCGGGCTTTTGGCATTTTAAAAATATTAAAGCCCACGAGATCCACAAGGACTGATCCTTGTAGAAGGATCAGAAGGATTGATAACACCGCGACGTGGCAGGCGATGAGTGGAGGCGTGCGTGATGAGCAGAACGCGTGAAAAAAAAAGAGACCCATTTGGTTTCATTCCCAGAAAAAAAAGCTTTCTCTCTCTCTCTCTCTCGCGATATCGAAGGCGAATCGGCGAAACCGAAGGCGATTCTCAAATCGAAGGTAAATCCTCTGATTATTTTGTTTTTAGTGTTTATGCATGTTGAAATCTGAAGGATTCCGGTTCTATCGGTGGGTTTTAATCGTGTTTTGGTTTCAAATCGAGTCGGGTACTTTTTTCAATTTAGGGTTTTCGACTGTGTTTGATACTTTCTGTATCTTGATTCGCTCTTCGACTGTGTTTTAATCGTGTATTAGTTGTTCTAGTGTTCTGATTTCGACTGTGTTTCAAATTAGGGTTGATTCGCTCTTGACTGTGTTTCAGTTTAGCGTTTTCGACTGTGTTTTAATCGTGTATTAGTTTGATTTAATTCGTTTAATCTGTTCTTGCAGGCTCTAAAGATGGACGACGAACATCGTGATCAAAAAGCACGTAGAGAGTACTACAATATGCTCCATGCCGTTTCCGACGCTCAACAGGCGATTCCGAAGCTGTGTCCCTGCGGATCAATAACGAAGGAAACTGTGGATGAAGATGACAACTACGACTATCTCCCTGGGAAGAGATACTTCGTCTGCAAAGACTTCGTGGTAAGAGTATCCATTTCAAACACTGTGAGCTTATTTATATGTTCATGTTCTGTAGACTAATGTTTAAATGTTTGTGCAGAATGACGGGATGCATTTCAGGCAGCCATGGGTTAAGGCGATCCAAGAAGAAGTGGAGAGGCTCAAAGAGAAGGTCTACGAGCAGGAGAAGCTTCTCAGAGAATGGGACGCAGTTAAGGTGATGTGTTCTATCTGTTAATTAGTGGTTAGGTGATCTGTTTTATCTGTTCTATCTTTTCATTAGCAATTTTATTTAAGTCTTGCTCCTTCTCTCTGTTATGTTCCTTGTCTAATCTGTTTCTTGTCTATGTTCAGGCGCAGCTGAGGATTCTGCAGCACCGTGTGGCTTCACTGGAGAAAGCTGCACTCGAGAAAGACCAATGTGGTTAGTGTTTCAAATTCTCTTCTTGTAGTTGTGATTGGTTGCTGTGATTGTCTGAACACTTTGACTATATAAATGAAACACTTAAGTAAAATTAAAAATGAAACAGTTAAGTAAAATTATAAATGTAAACTCAACAACTATTATAAATGCAAACTCAACAACTATTCTAAATGCAAACTCAACAACTATTCTAAATGCAAACTGAACAACACTTTTAGACAAAATCAGGTTGCTTTGTAGTTGGGTTTAGACACTTATAAATGCACACAAGCCATTTAACTCTATTTTAGTGTTAAGGTTCATTAACTCACTCTGTTCGTGTTAGGTTAAGGATAGGACATATTCCTACTCCGCAAAGAATCAATGAACATAAAACAAATCTCCCCTATTTAATAAGCTGTTTCTAGTAGAGAAACATTGAGTCAATCCCACAAATCTTCTCAAATCTTTTTCTAAAATGTCAACTAGCTTTGTAAACCTTTTAGCGAGCCAAGGGTTCATTGACCTTGACTCATCGGAGCCTGTTTCCTTTAACAGCCAAGGCTCTGATGAGCCAAGTGCCAAGGAGAGGAGGAGATGGTCTTCGAAGGAGGATGTCATCCTTGTTGGGGCTTGGCTCAACACGAGCAAAGACCCTATCGTGAGTAACCAACAGAAGGCCCCTGCCTTCTGGAAGAGGATTGTAGAGTACTACAACTCCAATCCTCAACTTGTTGGGACCCCACCGAGAGACCTTGGTTCTTGCAAGCAACGCTGGCAAAGAATCAATGACTCTGTTTGTAAGTTTGCTGGGTGCTACGAGCTGGCGCTGAGAGACCAGAGGAGTGGCCGGAATGACAACGACGTGATGGTGTCAGCTCTGAAGATCTACGAAAATGACTCCAAAGGTGTCAAGTTTAGCATGGAACATGCTTGGAGAGAGTTGAGACACGATATGAAGTGGTGCTCGATGAACCAGGAGAAAGACAATGGCAAGGAGAAAAGAAAAGCTAATACGGTGCCTGTGGATGTTGAAGTGCCACAGGCAGAGGAGAGACCCATTGGCGTTAAAGCTGCAAAGGCAGGGAAGAAGAAGAAGAAGAGTGCAAAGGATGAAGAACTGTCCAAGTTAGAAGCACTTATGGAGACCAAGAAGCTTCTTTCAAAACATAGTTTGCTAGAAATCTTGCTTGCTAAACCCGAGCCACTCACTGAGATAGAGCAGGCTCTAAAAATCAAACTCATGACTGATATGCTTTGATTATGTGTGTAGGTGTATTGCTTTGATTATAGTTTGCTAGAAACTCACGATTTAAATGTTTAACACAACTTCTTGTTTCTTTTTCAGGTTAGGTACAAGGACAAGGACAAGGTGAAGTTTGCTGTTTGCTGTGTTGGAGTTTTCTGCTTGTTGGTTTGTAGTTTTCTGCTTGTTGGTTTGTAGTGTTCACGGGTGTTGGTTTGTAGTGTTCACGGGTGTTTGTTTTTCACGGGTTGTAAGTTTTTCACGGGTTGTAGTATTCGGCTAGTGCCTTTATAAAGGCTGTATGTCGTGTTGCTATGTACTCATCACTCTACCTTCTTCTATAATGAAAACTTAAGTTTGTGTTCTTCTTCTTCATACGGTTTGTGTTCAGAGCAACTTAAAGCTTCTTACGGTTTGTGTTCAGAGCAAGTTCTAGCTTCTTCAATCTTTCTTCTTCTTCTTCTTATGTTAAATTGAAACCAATACAAATACTTGTTTAATTTTGCATACACAAATATATACGTTATATGTTCAAATTATAATACTTCTTCTTCTCATTAATCAATTAATATTGGTCATACAGCACAAGTTAATAATCTTGGTTCAAATTATAATACGAAGTACATGTATATATTATTTGTTAATAATAATCTTGAATTCGTTTATGTTTATATCTCCAGAAGCAAATATTATTAACAAATAATAATCTTTGTTCAAATTATTAATTCTTACATTTATGTTATTTATAGGCAAATATGGGAGATGAAATCGATCAGAGACTCAATGCTCTATTCGATGCGGCTTTAGAGGATTGTTTTGAGGATACATTCAACAGCATCGTGGAGAATCGAAAAAGCAAACCAAACAAACGTCAATATATCGAACGCAACCGTGAAGGGGGCCACACCCGTCTCTGGAATGATTACTTCAGTGAGAATCTGACATTCCCACCTCATTTATTCAGACGCCGTTTCCGCATGAACAAAGAAGTATTTATGCGAATTGTCAATCGCCTGTCTGAGAATCTCCCCTTCTTTCAACAAAGACGCGATGCAATTGGGAGGTTGGGATTAACTGCACTACAAAAGTGTACGGCGGCTATTCGTATGCTTGCTTACGGCTGTGCGGCTGATACCGTGGATGAATATCTCCGGCTTGCTGAGAGCACAACACTTTCGTGTTTAACCAATTTCACAGAAGGCGTAGTACAATTATTTGGTGATGAGTATCTACGAAGACCAACTCCTGAAGATCTTCAACGACTGCTCGATATTGAAGAAATACGCGGGTTTCCTGGGATGGTCGGAAGCATTGACTGTATGCATTGGGAGTGGAAAAATTGCCCAACGGCTTGGAAAGGACAGTACACATGTGGATCAGGAAAGCCAACAATTGTCTTAGAGGCCGTCGCTTCACAAGACCTTTGGATTTGGCACGCTTTTTTTGGTTCTCCCGGGACCTTAAACGATATTAACGTCCTCGATCGCTCACCCGTCTTTGATGACATTATACATGGTAGAGCTCCAGCGGTACACTACGTGGTCAACGGACACCAATACGATTTGTCGTACTACCTAACGGACGGTATATATCCGAAATGGTCAACATTTATCCAGTCTATCTCACTCCCTCAAGGTGCCAAAGCTGAATTATTTGCTAAATATCAAGAAGCAACCAGGAAAGATGTCGAACGTGCTTTTGGAGTATTGCAAGCACGATTTGCGATAGTGAAAAACCCGGCTGTTTTGTGGAGCAAGGACGCAATTGGGATGATCATGCGCATGTGTATCATACTGCACAATATGATAGTGAAAAATGAACGCGATGGATACACTCAGTTTGATACTTCAGAATTTGAAGAAGGAGACTCGAGCCGAAGTTCACATGTCGATGTACCCTATTCTACCAACATGCCTTCACATTTCGGTAATATGCTTGGTATACGGAGTCATTTTCGTGATAGACGTATACATGACCAATTGAAAAATGATCTGATCGAAAATGTTTGGAATAAGTTTGGTAATGATGATGATGTATAATTATTGTATGTTTAAATTTTATCATTCAATAAATTAAAAAATTTTAATTACATGTTTTAAAATTTTATTATTTAAATATTCATAAGGACCTCAAATTGGGTAACACCATTGGACACACATTCTAGACAAGAATCCTTAATTATTCTCAAAAAAAAAAAAAATATTAAACTAATCACAAGGACTCCAATGGTGGTAACACCATTGGAGGTGCTCTTATACTCACCTCTTTGAGATATATCCGTTAAGTACTGAGAATGATATCCATTATATATATACAAAATATAAGCATACATAGTTTTTATACACCTTCAACATCAAACTACTTGATCTTTGAAAGAAAACTATAATCATGTAAAACGAAAAAAATGTATTTGGCATGACAATAAGGAGACTTCGTTCGTCTGGAAGATATCAGATGTGGTGGTCGGTTCGTAATTTTGCGAACGCCGAGTAAAAAAAAAAAAAGAACACGACTCAACTCCAAACAAGACAAGCTAAAACTTGTTGATATTTTAGCAAGCTTCATGCTTTGGCCTCACTTCAAGTTCTGGTGGTAGAAGTTTCAGAAAGCTTCCCTGAACCACTGGTGGAGTAGGAGGAGGTCGATCACAATCCGATCTCGTCTTTGTTTCTGACGAATCCGATGTCTCTGCTGATCCACCATCTATGTAACGGTTTACATACAAAAAAAGAAAAATTAGTAATAATAACATGATCAAGGTAGATCTTCACATGGAAATATATAGCCATAGAAAAAAGATGTGCACCGAAGAGTGATTTGACCATTGGTGGTCTCTTCGACTTATTCTTCTTCTTTAACTCCGCTACGAAACAGCATGCATTAGCATTAGTAGTACCATTCAAACTCAGAGACAAAGAGACCAATGATGAAGTATATGTGTACCCATTCCAGGAACTTGGTAATCATTAACGATCTCGAAGTTCTTGTAAGTGTACCCTACAAAGTTTATATCCTTTGACGACAGCATCTGCAGAAATAAAAGCGGAATTGAGTACACATAAATGAATGTAATAAGAAGGCAATGTTGAATCTTTTCAGGGAGTAGCTTTGCCTTCCTCCATGGGCCAGACTTGGAAGATGTTTGAGTTTGTGATTCTGACTGCATATATTAACCAAATGAAACAAATAAAGGTTAATGATCAAATCAGCAATACATAGCTAATGAGAGTAACCAAACAACTTATGCTTCCATCAAATCAAAATTAGGATAAAAAAGGAATACCTCGTCAAACTTCTCAAAATTCTGAGTGTCTAAATCGTCATTGACCTCTGGAACAAACGCAGCATCCATATCGAATATTGTATCCCAGTCAACAGTTTCAAACCATGGATGAGCCTGCGAAATGGAGAAAACAATTTAAACAATCTCAAGCTACATAAAGGGGAAAAAAATAAAAAAAAAACTACATGCGGAAAAGCTTTTAAAAGAAAACCAGTATAAGGGACACCTTTATTTCATGAGCACCTTTGGAACCAAGCCTACGTCTGACACTGCACAAAAGGTTGTTGATAAGATCTCTTGCTTCCCGCGACAATATTGCTTCCTCTGGAAACTTCAGATGACTTTTCCAGTTTACTATCTGCAAACCAAACAAGTGTTTGATGTCAATGTAAGGTAAAATTCCCACTCATCTTGTCTTTTATTTATTTATTTTGGTTTAGTTTCCATGCATGTCAGTTTTTCTAATATATTGTGAGAGCATATTTACCTTTCTACAGGTTGACATAGGATCATCTGCATAAAAAGGAGGATATCCTACTAGCATTTCGTACATGATAGCTCCAAGAGACCACCTACGTACATATCATTTTTATTGAGCAAACTGCAATTAGCATTCTATGCAAGGTGCAAATATACAAACGGTGTCACCATATACTATTTTAAGATGGTCTCCACTAACTAATTACTAGATAGACCCCATCAAGATGTATACTCATTCAAATGTGAACATAGAATTTACGGCAATGTTAGACAGAAAACGATAAAGATAAAATAAAACAATGATTGACTAGCGTTTGAGTCAAACAAGCGTGCAAAACCCCATAGCTAATGTAGTAACTTTCTTCTTCTTTTCTTTGTAAACAGAACAGAACAGTTCTGATGGAGTATTTATGTAAGCACATAATATGTGATAATGAAATGACGAAAATAAGAAAGCTTAATCTATTATTACCAGTCACACTCCATTCCATAGCCTTTCTTCAACAGAACTTCTGGAGCTATGTAATCTGGTGTTCCAACAGTCGAATAAGCCTGTGGTGGTTGTTTTCGTGTGTTAATCAAACACATAAAGAGAGAAAGAGAGAGAGATAAATTCTACTACAGTAAAGTCAAAAATCTCAAAGGGTGAATATGAAGCCTTACTAGCTTTCTCCTGTTCTTCTGCCAATGTTCAAGCTGTTCCTGCTGTGTTCTTTTTGGAGCAGCTGACCCGCCGGCCTCTTGCTCCGTAGTGGATCCATTTGAAAACTCGTTTTCTCCAATGGCACTGCAGTCCAAAGGTTTACACAGCCCGAAATCCGACAGTCTCAGATGGCCATATCTGTCAAGCAGTAAGTTGTCCGGCTTGATATCCCTGCCAAAAGCAAAAGAAATGGAGATAAGTTCATTCAATAGAAAATGAATTTTTTAAAATTTTATTATAATACTCTCAGAGAACCTGTGGATGTAATTGTGCCTGTGGATGGACTCGATAGCAAGAAGTGTCTCAGCGACATAGAACTTGGCCTCTTCTTCAGTCAGAGTATCTTTGCGCATTAGTAGAGTCATCATATCACCACCAGGTAGATACTCCATCACAAGGTAAAGGTGATCATCATCTTGAAACGAACAGTAAAGCTTAACAATGTAGTTACTGTCCACTTCCGCAAGTAAGTTCCTCTCTGCTCTCACATGCTCAACCTTTAATTTGAAAATATATATATAGTTTAATGATTAGGTTCAAATACATACATACATACATACAAAAGTAGCATTATTAGATAGGAAAGTGTCATTACCTGGCCTCTGCGAAGCATCTCGTCCTTCTTGAGCTTTTTCATTGCATAAACTTGACCAGTCGTCTTTTCTCTACAAACTCTAACCTACAAGAAAAAACTTTATGGGTTTAATAACCACCAGTAGAAAATTAAAAAAAAATGTATTCCCGAATGAAAGCATATGCATTAGTGCATTACCTCCCCAAAAGCACCTTTGCCAATCATGGTAAGCAAATCAAAATCAGCAACGCCTAGCTTATGGCGTTGAAGACGCATGTACTCTGTCTCCTTCTTCTCCAGAAACTTGAGAAGATTGTTTTGATCTTCTTCAGACACATCAGCATCTTCCAGCTTCTGCTCTAGCATGCTTCTCCTGTTTAATATATCAACAACCAAAAAAACAAATAATCACGCAGGATTTTTTACGTTCTTGGTTTTGAGCAAGAAGAGGTTTTTAATATATATACCTTTCTTTCCTCTCTTGCAGAATCTTCATCTGTTCTTTGTAATGATTCTCAATGTATTGTTTAGCTGCTGCAACTTTCTGTTTGGTAGTGTTTGAGACAGCTTCTTCATCAGTTTCCACCTTAGGTTGTTCATCGGTAGAGACATTACTACCATCACCACCTGAACCACCTTTATATTTCGATCCTCCACGCATCTGCCGCTTCTGAAACCAGCCCTTTGCTGAATCCATATTTTATACTCTCCTCTTTTTTTTTCTTTTCTTTTTTTACCACACACGTTATATACTCATTTCACCGGTAATCCATCATCTTTTGATTGAAAACGTCTGAAACGAATCCTTGTGCATAAACCAAGAATTTCAGAATCAACACAAACATCACTAAAATACAAATACGTCAGATATATAAACATGAGAAACTTAAAAAACAAATCGGTGAGGATCAAAGAAACACCTAAAGAATCGGGGGAAAAGGACGATCCAATGTTAACATTTAGATACAAACCAAAGCAGGAAGATGTAACAAATCTCCAATAGGAAAAGGAGAAAAGAGAGGAATGGAATGAGCGTGAAACTCTCTGTAGCCCATGAATTTATATATGGCATATCATTTCTAAGTAATGCATTTAGATTCCTTAATTCCCAGCGTCATTTTCTATCATTTTTATGCACACTTCTTCTCATTCTTTCTTTCAATTATTTATATATAATGAAGATGGACTTATTTAGCACAAAAAGATGTATTAAATGAACCAAACAAAAAAATTTGGGTTGTCGATATTGAGAATTCTTTAACCAATTAATCAGTTTTGTAATTAATCTTAGCACACGTTTTTGTTGTTGTTTGAGTTTGTTAAAGACACAAAGATTTTTTTGACCCACTTCCCTTGTGGTACATCTAGGGAGAAGATAGCACTTTCAACCATTCATTAGTATCAAGTGTAAACAAGAGCTTCATTACACAACAACTTCTATGTTTCTCTAATCATCTAAAGACAAAACAAGAATAAGCTACAACTTGAGTTTAATGAACATGTGTGTATAGGAGATGAATCAACAATCCAAAGAAGAAGAAACAATCTAAGATTCTTAACTGGATCTCTCTTTGCTTCTCTTCAACTTTTTATAGATATTCCTTCAAATTCTTCTCTTTGCTCTTGCCTCTCTCCTTCTCTAATTTTTTCTTTGTCAAATAAGTGTTAGGAGACAAGTACTAACTAGGTTTAGAGAATATTTATAGTGTCTCTTTAAATCTTTATACTAATGGACTTTCGACCACAATAAGACCCAAATTTGACAGATTTCTCTTTATCCCAAATTTATATAAATGCATAAGGCATTTTCACAGATAAATCCACTCGATATCAATCACGGTTGACATTTACACAGATGCTGAAAGTTTCAATAACTTGCTTAATCTATTCAATGAGGTTACAAAGAATATATAAAGCACGTTTTGTTACAATCATCAGTATCTCCTATATTAGAGCAGATAATAAATTAGGAACTGAATAAGAATATTCAAGACTTATTCTTTCACCCTCCCTTATTGGAAGCATCGAGGCATCGGACGGTTAAACTATTTCGAAATGACACGAACAAAAACGTTGGTAACCCCTTAGTACATATATATGCATATTGATAGGTAGAAGGGACATGTAAAACTATAACTTGGCCCAATGCAACTTTTTCACGAACGAAATGCAAGTCAAGCTCTACATGTTTCGTACGTTGATGCTTTACAGGGTTGGATGATAGATACACTGAGCTTATGTTATCACAGAAGATGAGAGTTGCGTTCGTGATTGGAATGTGAAGCTCAAGTAATAAGTTGCATAGCCAACAAGTCTCAGCAACTGTGTTTGCCACTCTTGTGTATTCGGCTTCGGCACTGGAGCGAGAAACCGCTTGTTGTCTTTTTGATGACAATAACACCAATTTTTTTCCTAGATACACTGCATGTCCTGATGTGGCACGACGAGTGCAGGGAAACCAGCCCAATCAGCATCAGTGTAGGCTGTCAAGTGTTAATCTTGGATTTGAAAACTTGAATTCCATGCGATAGAATGCCTTGTATGTACCTTATAATCATTTTCATTGCATTCAGATGATGCTCTCGTGGGTCATGCATGAAGAGACATACCTGCTGTACTGCAAATGCAATGTCCGGTCTTGTGAAAGTTAGGTACTGTAGAGCACCATCCAAACTTCTATACTATGTGGCATCAGCTACACGATCTCCGCCTTCTTGAGTGAGCTTCGCGTTGACATCAGCAGGTGTAGAGACTGGTTTATAACCTTTCATACAAGATCTCAATAATCTCCTTAGCATAGTGCTTTTGTGTTAATAGGATTCCGGCTTTATTGCACTCAACCTTGATCCCCAAAAAATAATTCAGACGGTCCATGTCAGTCATAGGAAACTCCAGTTTTAGACTTGTCTTAATCTAATTGAGAAACACCTTGCTTGAGCCTGTGAGTATGATGTCGTCTACGTAACGAAGAAGATAGGCAAGATTTCCATTCCAGCTATAGACAAACAGAGAGGCATCAGACTTGCAGGTTTTAAATCCCAAGCGTGTTAGGTATTGACTGAATCTTGCATTCCAATCCCGTAGGGCTTGTTTGCACACGTAATGAGGCTTTGTCTTGTAACAAAGCCCGGCTGTTGATTCATGAGATTGTCTCCGAAATCGTTCCATGGAGGAATGCATTCTTCACGTCAAGTTGATTTATATCCCAGCCGCGACTCAAAGCAACATTAAGGACCATCCTTATAGTATTTGATTTGACCACATGACTAAACATCTCCTCATAATTGATACCTTCTTTCTGTAATTTACCATTAGTGACCAACCGAGCTTTGCGCTTAGTATGCACTCCATCTGCATCATGTTTATTCTTAAAAAACCAAAGAGAGTTAATCACATTAGCACCAAAAGGCCTAGGCACTAACCTCCATGTCTTATTTTTAATTTGAGCATCATACTCTTCTTTTATTGCAGGATTCCAATAAGGATCCAGTAAAGCTTTTTTGTGCAGAAGAAGGTATGCGAGTGACAGAAGAAGTAAACAAATTGAAAATATTTTTGGGGTTTGACAATACCTAGTGACCTCTTGTTATCATTCTTGGTTGCGGAGGAATGGTGTTTGGCTGAGTGTTTGTTGCTTGAGGCAGAGGATTGATATTTGGCTGAGTGTTTGTTGCGTGAGATAGAACTGTGTTTGTGGGCATAAAATGATGAAGAGGACTTTTCAGAATCAAAGAGAAAAAGGAGAAGGAATGTCTGCGTCCTCGAGAAAGCTATAAGAGGAAGACTCACGTCGTTCTTGTTGAGCAGCTGGAAACGTACTTTCATCAAAAATTACATGACGTGAGATGATGATGCGATTAGACTTGAGATCTAAGCAACGATATACTCGGTAATTAACTAGATATCCGAAGAACAAACAAGGAGTTGATCTGGGGGAGAGTTTTGGAAAATGTGATTTGTTGAAATTTGGGAAACAAAGACAACTGAAAACTCAAAGGTGCTCATAAGAAGGTTGACGCCCAAACAGAGCGGAGTATGGACTTTTGTTAGCTATGGAAGAGCTTGACAAGATATTGATGACATTACAGGCTACATGAAGAGCCTCAACCCAATAAGTTGGAGGCAATTGAGCCTGAAAAAGAAGAGAGCGAATAACATTGTTGATGGTTCTAATCATCCTCTCAGATTTTCCATTTTGTTGAGAGGTGTGAGGACAATAGAACCTGAAAGGCATGCCATTGTCATCAAAGAATTGCTGAAAACGTTTGTTTTTGAACTCCCCCCCCCCCATTATCACACTGCAAAGATTTAATGGATGCACCAAACTGGCGATTAACATAAGAGTGAAAGTGAATGAATTTTGAAAAGACCTCACTTTTTTATCTAAGTGGGTAAAACCATAAGTAGTGACTGAAATCATCTAAGAATAAAACATAATATATGATTCCGCTCATGTTTGGTATTGGAGATGTCCAAAGATCTAAATGAAAAAGATCAAAAGATTTTGAGCTTTTATTATTTGATTTTAAAAATGGCAGTTTTTGGTGTTTACCCATTGACAAGCATTACAAAAAGGTAAGTGTCTTTATTACAAAGCAATGAAGAAGAGGAAAAAAGTGTTTGCAGAGAGACTTTATTCGCATGAGCCAATATTTTGTGCCAAATAGAGGGACCTTCTGAAACAAGAGCAGCGTGTGTTTGAGACTTATGTAGAACGGAAGGAACATGATATAGGTCTCCATTACTTTAACTGCGGAGCAGAGTTTCCTGGACAGAAAATCCTTCACAAAGAAGCCAAATGGGTCAAATTCAATGGACCACCAATTATCTTTGGTAAAGCGACGAACCAAAATGAGATTTTTTACTATTTTGGAACAACAAGAACGTTTTGAAGAGCCAAAGGTTTGGTCGTGGAATGAATATAAGAATTTCCAGAGGACCAAACTGGAATGGTATAACCATCTCCACAATAACAGAGTTTATGGTGTTCAAATTAAAAACAAAATGAAGGTTACCTGATGACGACGCGAGGTGGGATCAAGCACCAGAGTCCATGTACCAGTTTGGTGATGGTTCTTGAAGGGTCATCGTGTTGAAAGCTTCTTGAAAATCTCTCGTTAGTTGAAATTGATCAGCAAAGTGCGATTCTTGTGGTGATGGAGTTTAGATTCGTTGGTTGTTGCCACGCGGATGCCTCCTGTCGAGTTATGCATCCATGGAGTCTGCATTTGAGGCCAATTGTATGGAGTGGTCCAGTATGGTGCAGGCATACCCATTCCCCAGTTGACGTACGAAGAACGTTGTTGATAGTTTTTGTAGTATCGCCCTCTGCCACGGTATCCACGTATGTTCCTAAGATTGTTTCATTGTTGTTGTGGTTATGTCAACTTCTTGTTCTGAGTTGTGGAAACCAAAGTTGTTGATGAAGACGGATTGTCATTTGTAGTCATGACGACTTTTCTTGTTTTCTTGAGTCTTGTTTCTTCTAGCTCAAGCATGTTTCAAGCTTCTTCAAAGGTTGGAAATGGATTCTGGTGTTTGATGACATTAATGATGTGATCAAACTTCTCATTGAGGCCACTAAGCATATACATTACCAAAGTTTTGTCTCTGACTGCAGCCTCGATGTTTTCCAACAGATCAGCAAGAGATTTGAGTCCCTGTGAGTACTCTTGAACCGATTGATCTTTTATCTCCTTGGTACGGAGATCATTGTCTAGTTGTATGGCGCGTGATTCCTTGTTGTTACGGAAATCTCTCTTGATCATTGTCTAATTGGTTCTCAATTCTGAGCCAAATCTCTCTTGATGGTTTTGAAAGTGGATTTGAATTGAGACGGGTCAAAGAGTGTCGTAGGTCCATAACTTGACGAGGCCATCGCATTTGTTCCACTGCGTGTCGTCTGCGCCATTGGGAGTCGATGTCCCATCTACATGTCCTAACAAGTCAAAGGTGAGACAGAGTGTTAGGAATAGCTCTCACCAAGCATCATAATTGAATATATCTAGATCCAGGACGAGAGAAATGTGAGAACGAATCTGTTACATTGAAAGACCGTTTACTCATTCAAGGATTTCATGTCACATGTGACTCTCTCAAGTTACAGGAAAACTAAAAAAAAAAAAGAGTCACTCCACTTGATGGATTACAAAACCCTTAAATGAACTGTACTTTAAAAGTTTTGTAATGCTTACATGTGATGGTAATGTATAGTGAAATTACACTCTGGACTGCTGCTGGCACAAATACCGAATCACTTTTTTTCAGGTCTTAAAACTATCAACATGGACAATCACAATACATGAGACACTAAAACCTCTGTTGCGATTCAGAAAGTTTCATGAGTGGGGGGGAGGGCAATCTCAGCACAGTTTCTTCTGTCTCCGTGTCTTCGCCGGAGTCTCTTCCCCTAGATTTCCCCATCGTTGGCGATCAATTTTAGGAATTATTAGAGTATCCCCATCAGTGAACTTGATGGGGAGGGTTTCATAGAAAAAAAATAACTTTTTTTTTTGGTTTTGCTTTTCCTAAAAAAAAAAAAAAATTAGTAATAGACCAATTCCAGAACGCCACGTGGCGAACCCCGTGTGAACCGGGTTCATCCCGACGAACCTTCAAGACCCGGGTTCACCAAAATCAACATATTTTATTATTTTTTTTTCTTGATCCGCGTGTGAACCTCTTCCATGAACCTCCAATGCGGATGCTCTTATTACCACCAATCGGTCAAATTGGAGTCCTTATTGGGCTTAAATGTTTTTATCTAAAGCCCATTGTTTTAAAAAAAAGTTTATATACATTTGACTGAAAACCATTTGATTTCCTGTCAACCCTAATCGTATGCTCGGCGGCAGGAAAACATCTCTGAGGTACGTACCATCTTGTTTTGTGAATCTCAATCAGCTTAGGCTATTTTTCTTTTTTTTTTGTCTTCGCTGATGTTAGTTTTCTTGATTGCACAGAGATTATCATTGAAATAACAAAAGGACGAACATGTATCTACAGTGCTATATCAACGAGAAGGGCGAGAAGGTTTACACCACTAAGGTACCCTTTTTGGTCTTTCTATTCTCCTCTCTCTTTTTGGTATAAGCTTTCTTCTTCTTATTTTTCTAGGTTCCGGAACAAAGTCTCTGTTTTTTTTTTTTTTTTTCTTGTTAGAGATTGTAGTAATGTATATAACTTGTAATAATAGTTCTGAGGGAATGTTACTGATTTCTTATAAGTTATTTAACAGTACTAGCTGAAGTTAGTATATATATATATATATATTAAGCTGGGTTTGTTTGTTTGATCTTTCATTAGCAGAAATAAATTTGTTTCAGTACGCAGATGAATATTCATTCAGACATATTTGAGCTTAGTGTTGCCTATTTACGCTTAACCTTAAGCATATAAAAGTTCTCTCAGTGCAGTACACACATTGATCTTGGTTTTGACTTTCGATTGTTTATGATTAACAAAACCTAAGCATTTGGTTTTTCTTTGCTCACTGATGGTACAAACAAACTGTGTTGTTATTATTTCCTAAACATGAGTCAAATTCAATTTGTGCAGAAGGAATCACCGCTCGGGTCAGCCACTGAATCTGCCCATCCAGGTGAGTCTAGCTTCTTTCCCCCACAACCCTTTTGTGGTCTTATAAGAAATCCATTTTTGAGTTATTAAAAACCAATTGGTTTGTTGTGCTTTTACAGCCCGATTCTCTCCTGATGATAAGTATTCAAAGGAGAGAGTTTTGTTGAAGAAACGGTTTGGTCTTCTACCGATCCAGGGCGCACCTGTCAAGTACTGAAAAGGCTAAAGCTTTTCTTGTTTTCTTTTTGATCTTTTTATGTTACTGGCTATGTTGTCTCTTAATGAAACCATCTCTGTACGTCTCCAAATAGTAGTGAGTTAAAAGAGCAATTTTGCTACTTTTCGTGAAGAAACCAAAATTTAAGAGTGTCAAATTTGATTAGAAAATCGAAATATGTTTGAATCAAAGTTAACTGATCAAACGAACCAAGGCAAAGCAGCATGCCTACAATTATATATGCATCTTCCTATCTCAAAAGCAAAACAAGAAAAAAAAAGAAAAAGGATTTGTATTGTCTTCACTGAACTAGACCACTAGTCACATAATAAACACCACTGCATGTAAGCTTTGGGCAGACAGATTAGAGCACATGCATCCTTGGTGCTAAAGGGAGTTTTTAGGGGAAGGGATCACAAAAAGCACCAAAAGCACCAAAAGTCGAGGCTACAAACTCCAGAATAAACGTTTTTCTGGGTTGTTACTGCCAATCTGCGGGTCCTACGATACGTGGCGGTCCGCGATTGATCATTTTTTTGTTTTTTTTAATCCTAAAACAAACAAAAAAATGTTAAGCACTTCCTTTCTTAAGTTTAGCAATAATAGTGCTCTTAGGCAGCCTCGTCCATGTTAGACAGAAAAGGGATTGGGTTGTCTCTCAGACACGCCAACTTATTCATCCAGACATCTGTTTTGCCATCGGTAATCTGTAAGGGTCTATTGCAGATAACCCCATATATATATAGATCAACCTTTTTCTTAAATCTCAATCTGATCAGGGAAGGAAGGATGTTCTTGGTCGAGCTTCAAACGAAACGAGAGATCTCATTGGCTCCGATCAACTTAAAACTTTTCAAACCACTTCTTCTTTGGATGTTTGGCTGCTTAACCAAAATACCGTACTTCTTATCTAACAGACAATCGTCTCAGTTTGAGCTTTTGTCATAAGGTACACATCCACTTGTTTTTTTTATCACTTCATCCGATTTAGCTCATCTTTTTAAGTGAACTAGTATATTATGAAAAGGAAAAAGATTTATAAGCCAGACTCGTGCTAAATCCACTAGAGAAATGAATTTTCATATACACAAGAAGGAAGTAAAAAACTAGTTATCAAGTCTGCTTATGAGTTACGTGCAGCGATCATCTCTGCTTTCATTCTGTTGATGAACTCTTGGGCTCTCTCGTCTATTCCCTTCTCTGGAACCAATTCTTCCTTAGGCTTCCACTGTTTTGCTGGAATCCAAATGGGTTCTCTGAAGAGCTTATCAACGTATACAACAGATTTGCGTTTCTTCTGTAACAAGCAACCTCTCTTTAGCCGGATAAGGAATAAAACACTCGAGTCTCTGTCTCCAAGATTCTTCTCGGTTGGGTGGCGTGAAGCTGATGCACCGTACCGGGTTTGGATTTTGGTTTTGGATATCCGGAGCTTGTGGAATTTGGTGGTTAAGCTCTTCCAAACTCTTTTGACTGGGGTAATTCTCAGGCAAGACATGACGCTGGATGAATGAGGAAATCCAGAGGGAGATAAGACATGACTTATATACAAGGTAGAGGTTGTGTTGAGCTTAGTTCGGACGCGAGGAAGACAAAAAGTAACCCAAGAATATTCCATTTATTGCTTAATCTCTACGCTGCTTCTCAAAATCTAATGATCCCTTTTTATCTAATGATCCCAAGATACACATTCGAGTTAAAAGTTAGCAACGTTTAGCTGCTTGATGTGATACACATTTGTAACATTGTCTTTGTTCTTCATCTAACTTTGAGAGGGTACCATTTACAGTTAGATGAAAATTATATAAAACTGAGAAATGTATCAATCCCCCTATATATTAAAAGAGAAGTCACTTTAATGAATTTTGCTTACGTGTCATTCATAGGTGCAATATAGAATTAATTCTTTTAATTTGATTGGTTGTTGGCATTTGAATTTTTATTTATTTAATTAAGTTTTTTAAAAAGGAAACTAATCCTAGAATTACCTAATCTAATATATATTACCAAACAAACAATTAACCATCTTAAATACATATGATTAATAGAATTTGTTTATAGAAACAATTAAATATCACATATTCCATTATAAAAACTTAGGGGGGGTTATTGGCAGAAGAATTCTAAAGGAGTTATTAAATTTTGAGATTCCATTGTTATTGGTTCATGGATTTTTAAAGTCTAAGTAGAATCCATTGTTATTGGGATGATAACTTTTAAATTCCATTCAAAATCTTTGTTATTGGAAAAGTTTAGTTGTCATTGATTTTAAGATTCCATTAAAATCTATTGTTATTGGGATGTAAATTTTCTTTGTTTTTACTCATAAGACTCAACTTTGAGAATATCACCTATACTCATAAGATTTTGAAATCTATGTAATAAAATAATCTCACATACAAAAAAACACACAAAATTGAAGAATGAACTAATAAAAATCACTACTTTAGCATAATACAAATCACAACAATACATAGAAAATTAATATTAAAAAATAATAATAAAAAATTTAAAGTTTAAAATGAAATTTATAAAATAGTTTCAAAAAGTATTTTTGAGTTTAAAAAGAAAAGAAAAACTAAAAAGAAACAATTTGAAAATAAAATTTTGATTTTTTTTTATAAAAATATTGAATTTGAAAACATATATTTTGAAATTATAAAAAAAAATATTTTTCCATTTTTTTATTTCAAGAACTTTTTGTGACATTTAAAAAAAAAAAAAAGAGATTTACCCTAATTGAAGTTATTCTCTTTCCTCTACTCCTACCACTATTAATTTTCTACTTTAAAAGCTAATAACAATCAATTAAATTCTATACACAAGTAATGAAAATCTATGTAAAAATTATTTGATTAAATTTGTTAAATCTAGTGAACTTGTAAAATCCCCTCAACTACTAGATTCATCAAATTCCACAAAAATTCATGTTCCAATAACCTCCCTAAGTCATAAAACAAAACTTTCAAAATATTGCACTATTACTCAAGATTCTCAAAATCCTCATAAAAGAATATTTTCATAGACTTCTTAAATATAGAAAACTCATTTGAACTCTTTATAAATTTATCAAATCTATTGATTCTTAAAATCAATCAAGTCTATCTAAATCCATCTCCCACTAACCCCCCCTTAGAATATACATATAAATACATATTATATTATAGAAATAAGTATATAAACGATTTTAATTTTTTTTTTCTATTAATAATGGATAAAAAATCATACATTACAGAAAACTAATAATATTTTTATACTCACTCACTATATATATGTATTCTTAAAATATGTTCAATGAATGCAAAATTGTCAAATGTAAAAAATTTAAAAATCTATCATTTTCCAGAGATAAATGTCGATAGTATAATTGAGTTATTACTTTCAAAAATTATTTAAGTATTTTTATATTTAAAACAGAAAATTATATGGTATGTCGTTTTAAAAAAAATATGAATAAATGAAAAAGTTTATTATAATATAAAATTACCAAAAATCAAAACATTATATTAATACATGATTAGAGTTAGTATTCTATTCGTATAATTCATATAGCTTTAAGTATGATAAAATTGGCATGTTTATTTTTAATAAAAAAAGAGACATAAATAAAAACATGAGGGAATAATAATAAAATCTTTTGTTGTATTCTGCGTTATTTTGTATTTGTACATACATAATTTTTTATTTGTATACCAAAATATTTTTTACGTATCAATATAATTGTAAACTAATTATTTTTAGGTGTTTATACAACATAAAGAAAAAATGAGCAAGGAAGATAAATATAAATGATAAGTTATAAAATTGTTAATGTTGAAGATGCAAAATATAACGCAAATTACCTTTAAACTAAATTATTTTTAAAAAAATGATAAGTATTTTTTGCGGTGTAATAAACTTTTAAAATATAATAACAAAATTTATACAACTAGAAACATGTTATTTTGATATATTAAAACTGTTGAATCTCATGTTTATATTAATCTATGTCTAAAATAATGACATCACATCATTTAATAATTAAGATATTTTATGTTATATAATTATTTAATCAAATTTAATTTTTTGAAATACATTTATTTAGATTTACTTAAAATATGTATGTAATGAAGTAATTAAAAAAATTTAATAATAAGATATTTATTTTTTCAATGAAAATCTTGGTCAGAGAAATTAATGTTTGATAAGATAGTGTGAAGATTGGAGAGAATTTGATAATGAATTTATTTGGTTAGTCAATTGTGATTTTATATTAAATTCTAAATAAAAAAATGTAAGAAATGGGGAAAGAGAGGGAGATATGGTGATGATAAGGATTAGAGAGTCGATTATGATCATAATGAAGATGAAAGTGAATATAAGTGAGAGACTGAATATAAGTGAGATAGATTATGAAATCATTTATTAATATTATGTGAAAGTGTTTAGAAGATTTAACAAAATCTGGTGAAAATTTTGCAACCAAAGAGAGATAGAAAGAGTTTTAAAGTGAAATATTGAGGATCATATTAAGGACGAGGGTAAGCGAATGAATATATGTGATTGTGAGAGAGTGAATGTAAGTTTGAGAGATTTTGAGATTATTTGATTAACTAAGAGAGAGAGAGAGAGAAAGAAAAAGAGAGCAAAAGAGGTGTACAAAGACATACAAAAATAATGCAAAGAGAGTTACATAAGAAACAAAAAAAATGTCTGAAAAATACAAGGAGAAACGAAATGAGTAAGATAGAAATATATATTAAAAACAGAGTATCTATGTAAAAAATAAAGAAAGTTACAATATATTTATACATTTATATTATTTTTTTATTCATACAATGTATAGATTACATTAATGTCTACATAGGCGTGCGAGCCGTCCACCTAGTAATAAGTAAATATTCTAGTTAATCTCTACGCTGCTTCTCAAAATCTAATCTCAAGATACATACTCTAGTTTTTCTGCTTAATGTCTGATACACATTTGTAACATTTGTCAAATAATAAGTCTCAAATAACCCCCTGATTAAAATAGTTTTCTCTAATAAAACTAAAAACAATTAATTACCGATTGTAAATGTTTTTATTTTATTTTATTTTCTAAAGACTGTTTTAGCCCCCTTAGGACTGACAAAACTAACAACCTTCTTCACCCAACTATATTTGCCAAAACATGGGAACCCAGTTCTCTTCGTGAGAGAAGGACAAAACGAAAATTGGAGGGAAAAGAGTGAACAAGGTTTGAGTAAATAATATACTCTAATGGTAAAATGCAGAGATATAAAGAGGGCTTAGCTTTGAAGGTCTAAAAAAGGGACAAAACCAAACCAAAAATTTAAATGAGAGCTTGAGTAGCACCAAGTTTATATACATCCCTGAGCCTCCAAATGGGATACATAGATTCTTCCCCTGCCTCCACTTGTTGCATTGCCCACTTGTAGTACACTGAGTGTATCGTGTCCTACATCCAAATACAACAAAGTCTTAAAGCATTGTTGATTCATATATGTTTTTGATTATTTGTTTCTATTAACCTGGCCTCCTTCTTTGATTTTGCCATTCTTGTCACGAACACAGAAGATTTCTTGCGTTTGGAACTGACATCGAAGATGATACAAATCCATCAGATGCAAAATCTTAGCTAACCTCATTTAAGAATAATGGGAAGATCATATACCCTGACGATTATTATGGGCGTGGTTCCCATCATCTTTGTTTCTTCAACTTGTACTTCCGATATATGCAGAATCTGAACCCACAAAAAAAAAAATGAATGTCATTTACTCATGTCTTTCTCGTGGGTGTGAACCAATGTTTAAAAAAGCAAACTTTACCTTGTGATCGAAAAAAAGATCATGGCCTTTTAAAGCTGCCCGCTCTGCCGTGCACCGTTCAATCACTTCTGAGCTGCAATACTTCTTCAAGGTCTCAGCATCTCCCTGTCATATCAGAGATGGGAAACTAATTAAAAGGATCGAAGATAGGAGTAGATGATCCATTTCAAAACCAGAGATTCACCTTGCTGTATGCACTCAAGACTGGTCTGATGGCTTCATGAACTTCTGCAGCAAAGTCCGGCAAGGAGAACGATCTGACCATGAAAAAGATATAAGAATATCATTCATTAACCGAGAGAGGGACTATTTTGCAACAGACCAATCACAGCCTCTACAACTTACGGATCTCGGCGGCGTATCTCTTTGTAAGTTGATCCAGAATCTGTTTCGTTAAACACTGCCTCATTTAAGCTGCCAAACACACATATATATATATAAGTTTTTGTACGTTCATTTTTTCAAGTAAGTCAATAAGGGAGCAATTAGAGCCTACTCCTGAATTTTGTGAACAATCGGGTTGTCACTGGTTTCCCATCTTTCCACAACATCTTCTGCAATCTACAAATGCAAAACAGAATCATCAAAAAGATTATTGCAAGACAGAAATCTTTGAACCAAATTAGTAAACAGAGAAACTCGTTAATTACCTCTTGGCTCTTGTTGATAACAGGCTCACTCATACCGCTTAGACGTTTAAAAGCAGGATGGGCTTGCATCTAGACCAAAATTCAAAGTTAGCAAACAAGAGCCTTACATAGCATGGCATAAGGCGTACAAATACAGAGGGTCGCTTACCTTTTCTCTTAAAGATTCCCATTTCTTTTGCCACTTGGTCTGTTTTGTTGGAGTAACCACCAGATCCGTTCTTGTACTTTTCACACCTGTAAATGGTGGGGGAGGCGTGTACTCCAGGTGCTTCTTTCTCGACGGGCCTCCTCGCAGTTCATCCTTCACAATGTCAAGTCCCTTCCTCGCAATGTCAAGGGGAGAAGAAACGCTTGACTTCAGTTTTTCAAATAATGTATGTTGACCTCCCTCAGTAGTTCCTGATTGTTGCTGTTGCTGCTGGTTTTCCTCTTTAGAGGTTCCTGTGCCTGATGAACTTGCTGACTCTGCATTCTCCTCTTTACCCAGCTTGAATGACTCCTTGACCTGACCACAACAAATGCATAACCTAACCTAACCCTAAAAAAATTGCCAAAATTGACCACTGAAAGGACTAAAAACAGCGGACTTCCAGCAATACCTCTTCTGTGGCCGCTGAGAACGTGTCTTTCACACTTGAAGAGACCTGTACCACCAAAGCTGTTTGGTAAGAAAAAATTCTGTAGTCTTTAACAATGTCCTAAGATGGGTCCTCAATACACACATATATATATATATATATATATATATATATATATATATATATATAGCGAGTTACAGTTCACCAAACTACAAGGGATACTTCACACATAGATGAACAGAAAAATGGTTCTTAACATAGACAAACCAAATATGCAAATCTGGCCAAAGAAGAGCTTTAGGGACTCTTTGCACTTGTTTTTTTTTAATTTAAATGTGTACTACTGATAATGCCTTTCGAAAAAATGGTGGCTCTAGTACCATTTTGGCGACAGATTCAGCCTCAGTCCAGACACCATCAACTTGCTTGTAAAGCTGCTCGGTCTTCTCTTTTGTTCTGCGTTTTACCATCTCATTCATAAGCTTCTTTTGAAACACCATCAATGTATGTATGTCTCTCTAGGAAAGTATACTTACTTAACTTTGAGGTCCTCTTTTACGCCTTGAAGCTCTTGTGCCTTTTCTTTAAGCTCCTTCACTGTTCTTTGAAATTCAGGATTGCTGCAACAATATGTAAACGAGCTTCGGAACTAAGAACATCATCCAATACAAACATAAACCAACATCAAAAAGACAATACCTTTCAGCTTCCCCTCTAATTTTCTTGGAGAAATCGCTGAAAACACTGAACTGACGATGAATCGAATACCCATTGGGTCGCAGAAACCCTACCCTTGCGCCCAAACTCTAAACAAACACTCATAATTACCAAATCAAATCAGCCCATGTGGTAATCACAAACAGTAGAAACAAAGTCGGATAATGACACGGACCCGTTGATGGACCAATCGGAGGAACAGAGGCTGCCTTGTGATGAGTAAATCTCGAATCAGCTTTCTACTCGCCATTCCTTCGTAGTAAGTGCTAAAATTCGAAGAACACAGACTCCTACCTACAAGCAGTCCGCTGCGAGAAGAATAAAAATAAGAAAGGTTATTGCGTGGAAGAAAAGGAAAAGATAAGTAATTTTTTGCTTGAGAAACAAACCAAAGAAGAAAAGAAGAAAGGATTGTTGCCTTAATCAGTTAAGCCCTAAAGAGATGCATTTGGTCGGTACACCTTTTCTGGGGTTTCTCATTCAGGCCGATTTCATTTTAGACACATGTTTGGTAACACCAATAACTATACTCTGTCTGGGAATAGTAGGCTTAAATAGAAACAAAATACTAATATAAGAAAATTCCATAAAAGTGACACATCTAAATTTCACTAAGTTTTTTAATAATCAAAAACTTTTTTAATACTAGGTTTTTGGTATTAAAAGGGGTATGCTTTAAAAAAAATTGTGTATAAAATGAACAAAATAATTAGTTGGAGCCTTAAAAATATTAATTAATAAATTTCAAATAAAATTCAAAAATATCTAAGAAAAATATTTAAAGTTTCTAATTTTATTGTAAATTTTTTGGGAAGAACGTAAACTAATTAAGAGAAAAAAAATTTAAAATTGAAAAAATTAATTTTGAAGGAAAATAATTTGTTTTTCAATTTCAAAAAAAAAGAAAATTTAATATTTTAAACTTAAAAATATTATTATAAAATTTAAGATTATAAGCAGCTTAGTTACTTTTCTTTATCAAACAAAAAATAATTATAATTTTCTGAAGTTTTTTTTTATTTTTTATAAATTTTAGAAATTACGTTTGAAACTTATTAATATATCCCTTATATATTAATCCTGAAGCATTCATAAATACACAACCTTGGAGAGCATGCTTACGTGTCAAGCTCACAGAGCTTCTCAGCCTTAACTTTTAAATGAACCAACTTTGCTAGGAATGAAATAATGTAACGTTTAATTTCTTGCATTTAGGATTATAATATATAGACATTTTTTAAGCGACCAACTCTACTAGGTATAAAACAATATATTTTCTTTCCTTAAATAAAAGCTACGGAATTACCTAATATGATTAACATATATATGTAATTAATGATTATGAATAATACATATTTTTGTGTCCTCTCTCTTTTTTGTTTAATTTTAAATTATTAAAATAAATTAAACAATCACATTAAATATATAATAAAATGTAATTTTTTTTCTTATAGGTTATATTTTTAATTTCTTAAAAGGACCATAAATAACTAAAAATAGTAAAATCCTACATTGAAATTTTTATGATCAATGGTTTAACTTTTTTTTTTTCAAACAAGATACAAATTATCATAAATCGTACGAATATGAAGTATCATTAGTAGATATTCATATTATAAATATGTTAATTTAAAAATTTCAGTGAAAAGGTTTGAGATTAGTAGATACAAATTATAGTATTCGAAATATTTTTTTAGTTTGTTTTATTTGCTTTTTGAAAAAAATATCTATTAGTTTTTTTAGATAATTTCGCTAATTTTAAATTAGATTTATTAATAGTTTAAATATTTTGAATTTTTTGTCAACTTTTAATGTTTAAAAAATATTTTTTGGGATGATTTCAGATATTGGTTAGAATCCAATTTAAACTGAATTGAGAAAACCAAATCCAATCCAATCCGATAATTAGTAAAATTCAAATAGGATTTATGAGAATAATACCAAAATCTGAAAATACATCTCAATCAAACCAAAATCGACGAAGTCTCAAACGTCCAGACCTGTGATGATTTAAGATACCAAAATTTGTATTCATCATTTTATAATCGATAAATACTGTAGTATTGCAAAATGTTAAAAATCATTTAATGAATAAGTATTGGTATAAAAATTTCACCCCGCGCATGCGCGCGGGTTATCATCTAGTATACTATTAAAGAAGAATCTCTTTTGGAGTTTTGCCCTTGATTTTTTAAGAAAATTACAAAATATCATTTTCTTTTATTTTTAATGAAAATTGCTCATTAAAAGCCCAGCTGAAAATCACCCATTAAAAACCCAATAATTTTAACATTTATTTACAAGGAAATGGGCTTCAAATCTATACAAATATATATATATATATATATATATATATATATATATATATATATATATATATATATATATATATTTGTAAGTTTACAAATTCGTCAACAAAATTAGGCCTGAGTACTTTACCTAGATCCAAAGACCTGAACAAGAACCGTCCCAAAAATACAGGTTTAGGTCCAGATTCGTGTCCATGCTAAAGTATCTATTGGGTATTTTTTGTTTGGACTTGCGGGTCTCGGTTCGAATCCGGGTCCTACTCGAAACCCGTTCGGGTACCCGAAGTACCCACAAATTATTGTATATATTAGGTATATTTAGGTGATTGGGTATATTTTTGATAATTCAGTTATTTTTAAAGTTTCAGATTTGGATTTCTGGGTATAATCTTAGTTTTAGGTAAAATTTTAGATTTTCAAAAAAATATAATTTGCGTATCAGAGTAAAATTCTGGGTATTTTTTGAATTTTTGGGTTTGATTTTGGATAAACTTTCGGATATTTTTGCGGTTCTTCGGGCATTTTTAAAGTTTTAGGGCTGTTGGATCCAGTTTGGGTCCTTCGGGTCCTTTTCGGTTTTAAATACCCAAACGACCCGAAACTGACCCGAAAATTATAAGTATCTATATGGGTCCAAAGTTCTAGGACCCGAAAGAACTGGAACCGGAAAAATCCGATCCAAACTCGATCCAAAATCTAGTATATACTATTAAAATAGAATCATTTTTGGGGTTCTGCCCCTGAATTTTTAAGAAAATTACAAAACATCTCATTTCCTTTTATTTTTAATGAAATCTTCCATTAAAAACCCAACTGAAAATCACCAATTAAAAACCCAATAATTTTAACATTTATTAACAACGAAATGAGCTTCAAATCTATACATTATCTATTTGTAAGTTTACAAATTTGTCAATAAAATTAGGTCTGTGCATTTTACCCAGACCCGAAGACCCGAACAAGAACCAACCCAAAAATATAGGTTCAGATCTGGTTTCGGGTCCATGCTAACGTATCTGTTGGGTATTTTTTGTTTGGCCACGCAGGTCTCGATTCAGGTACAGGTCCTACTCGAAACCCGATCGGGTACCCGAAGTATCTATACATTATTGTATATATTAGGTATATATAGGTGATTGGGTATATTTTTGATAATTTGGGTATTTTTTAAAGTTTCAGATTTGGATTTTCGGGTATGATATTAGGTTTTAGGTAAAATGTTTAATTTTCAAAAAATATTATTCGGGTATTAAGGTAAAATTCTGGGTATTTTAAAATTTTTGGGCCTGATTTTGGATAAACTTACAGATATTTTTGTTATTTTTCAGGCATTTGTTGAGTATTTTTCGAGTTTTTGGATCCAGTTTGGGTCCTTTGGATCCATTTTGGGTCCTAAATACCCGAACCGACCCAACAAAATTATACATACCTATATGGGTCCAAATTTTTAGGATCCGAAAGACCTGAACCCAACAAGGTCCGATCTAAACCCGACTCAAGGATCCAGATACTCAAGATTAAACATTATATTACCCGCGCTTTGAAAGCGCGGATCAAAATCTAGCTCTTAATTAAAATAAACATAGTTTGGATATTAAAATGAGCATATTTTACACGTTTAATGAGAAAAATAATTACTTGAGGAATTAAACTTTATAGTTAAAAAAATTAATATTTTCAAGCTTGACGAAATTTGATTTGGTTGGGGTATTTTATGGAATTTCTGAAGTGTTTTTTTTTTCAAACAAATTATACACGGCTCATTTCTATAAGGTTCATAAAGGTTCATGAATCTTTTAACATTATGAAATCCTTGTTTCGAATCACATAAAAATCAAAAGACTATAAAATCATTTTTTCGAATCACATAAAAATAATTATGTATATTAAAAGAGGAAAAAACATTAGATCTCGGTTTAGGATGGTTCAACTAGATATGAATCCTTAGAAGGCAAATATAACTTTTAGATGTAAAATTTTCTTTGTAATATTTTTATTGTTTGTAATACATAATTAATCAACACTTTAAACATCTCATATATAATTAGGTTTAAATTTGAAACAACAAATTCAAAGTTTAAAATTTTTCTTGTTTCGCCTTTTTCTTCTTTCCTCGTTATTTTCTTCTTGTTTTGATTCGTCATCTTCTTCTTGTTTAGGCACCTTCATCTTGCTTGATCACCTTCTTGCTTTGTCATCCTCTTTCGGAAAATACAAATATGTTAAAGATATTGTTAAATTCGGGTTTCTTATGGGCTTCCAACTTAAAACCAATTGGTGATTAGTGGATTGACCCTAACCTTTTATATATTACTCAAGGTCCCTTTGATTTCCCGATGTGGGATATATTATCCTTAATACCCCTCTTCGAGATGATGGCTCTTATCGGCCAGAAATCTCGGAACTTTAAGACAGTTATACTCGGTCGAACGAGTCAAGTACGACAATTATACCTAGTCGGAAGGTTAAACACGACCTATATATCCGGTCGGAAGGATAATTAATTAATTAGGGGTTTATGGGTTTTTTAGGATCTGGGCTCTGATACCATGTTAAATTCGGGTTTCTTATGGGCTTCCAACTTAAAACCAATTGGTGATTAGTGGATTGACCCTAATCTCTTATATATTACTCAAGGTCTCTTTGATTTCTCGATGTGGGATATATTATCCTTAATAGATATCAAAATTAGTCGAAGGAACACAACAATGATACCTCATCTTCTGGACGAACATGTAATATGGTGCATTACTAGAGCTTTACTTTCAAGCGATAATGCGATAAAAATACTATTTAAGAATGTTACTTTATGAATGATGGAGACATCTTTACTCAGATCTCATCATAACATGAGAGAGACAACATTACATGTTGGTCTCAGATTCACTGCATGCAAATGGTTGAATGGATTGGTATGCTTTGGTTAAAAACAATTGTAAAGAAAATATATCCTTCAGCAGGTTCCATTTTCTTTCATTAACGGTAAGAACTATTTGGTTCCAACTTCCAACTGGATTTTTTCTTTTGTCATTGGTGCTTTTGATGTTTTCATTGTCGAATGTGAATCATACAAAAAAAATTGATGTCTCCAAGACGAAATCTATTCACCACAAACTATAATTAC